CCATTCAATTACAATCAAATCTGATAAAACACCTAATTCGGAAAAAGATATGAAACTGGCGTAACGATATAATGGCGTAATTGTAAACATAGCTTTGTTTACGTGCAGGTTACCTACTTACACATTTATTTACATTATTCATGTTACGTATCTAATATGCCTTTACACATATTTGAATTCGCAATCTCTCGATATAGCAGATAAATAAAAAATTCCAGCGTTGCTCATTGTTTCAGAGTTAAATGTAAATATTATTTATGTTGTAAACTGTTAAATATGTTCGGACACAGTAAACTATGCAAAAGCTAATTTGCAGAGATCTATATATTAATACGTGAAGCAAAAACTTTGTATCCCTTTTTACGAAAAATGTGCGGACGGAGGAGTATGAAATTTTCCACACTTATAGAGAATATAGAGAAGAAGTGCACAATGCTAATATTTTTTAAAATAATGCATAAAAGATACATTAAATCAATAAAGAAAACATTACACACACTACATACCATGTATTTGACGCACACACGCATGCATACTATTTATTGTCAAACTTTTGTTCTTGACGTCTGTTGTCAAATTNACTATTTATTGTCAAACTTTTGTTCTTGACGTCTGTTGTCAAATTGAGATTAAATATTGTTTGTCTTTGTTAATATTTTTTATAGTGTAGTCTTGGCGAAATTTGTGATTATAGAAGTATAAAATACAATCATAATAGTGTACAAACTTACAATTCCAATTAATTATAGTCGAATTTCGACTACTGCGGGACCTCTAGTAATGATTAATTGACTTAAGATAGTAATCGGTAATCCTTACTTGATAAACTTGGATTGAGAAGAAAATTGGCAATTACATATTTTGAAATTCCTAGACATCGTACTATGTTAGAGTTACTGTTCACGAAATATCTCAGATATTTCCTTTGTAATTAGATTCGGTATTAAATGTACAATTACAAAACTTTCTAGTCTAATAAGTATTAGACAGATTGAACTTTATTTAACATAATAATATACAAGTTTACATATAGTAATACAGGCCTTTTTTTCATGTTATTTTTAGTGAGTCCCAGCCACGCCAGTTACGCTGTATCGGGTTTTTTTTTTTTTAAATTCGTTTGTATTGCCTACCGTAATTGTTTGAACTTCATGTGTACTGCTATCTTTCTTATATCAGGGATGTAGCGGTAAATATAACTAACTATAATTAATACAGAAAAAAAATTGAATCGCGCTGACGGTAATATCTACAATATCTTGCATGTAAACGAGTTGCGTGAAAAAACATTTGGTCTACCGAGAAAACTGGAGATAAGTCTTAAAATCCAAAAGTAAATCATAAAGTGATGCAAGTAACACATAGAATACTTGGGTAACATTATAGGAAAATCCCAATGAGCCGAAAGCTAGAGCACAACAATAAATCTGAGAAAACTTGCGATTGAACTTATATAAAAATTGTAGTGAACAAATAAGGAGTCAATTCCAGTCTATTGACAAGACTTAAATAGTGAACCGTCTAAATTCATAGAAACATATTTTAATCTATACTTTGTAGCGTTGCAGCTTGTAATATGAACGTTTTTATGTTTCTCAGATTCGTTTCTCATTTCCGAGATCAGCGCATTATACAAGAGTTCTTCTTAAATTGTCATTATCTACATATTTTTTTGCAGCTTCTTTGGACTCTTCGTCGTCATTGTGTCACCTTGTGGATCAGGTAACCAATCGATTGCCAAATCATAATAATTGTAATTCATTTATACATTTTTCATTCTCGTAGATGAGCAGACGGAGTTCCGGCACGATTACTTTTTAAGCCGTTGTCTTGGCAAATGAACTCTTTCAAACCGGAACACAAGATTATTTTTTTATTTGCAAAATAAGTTCGTCATCTCGATCACTATATTTTATTAACCTTTTAAGATTTTCTTAGAGATTCAAACAATAAGGCCGCCCATTGTTACTTGTATTCATATTTCATTCTAAGTTGAATTTAAGCTGGAATCTTTATTTTGTGACTTATATTATTATGTAAATAATGAATTTGAATACATTATTAATATTTTTATTTAATTAGCTGGGTTTTTTGTCTCTTCGTATTTCTAATCGGTACAAAAATGGTTTCCATCTAATGGTGGTTTATTACGCGACATGAAACTTCCTTATTATCTATACAAAAAGTAAAATTATAAACAGATTTTGGTCTGTTCGTCTGTGCAATTATTATGATCAATTTTGGATGTGTGTGTGATATAAGTTTAGGCTAAATATATAGGCTAAAATTCACTCTGTTTCGATTTACAAATAAAATGGTAGCTTTCTGTTCGCAGCTTCGCGCGCGTAGACTAACTACTACCCTTTATATGGCGTGGGCGTAAACTTGTGCCCGACAGTGGGGTGAAAGGTGTGCGATATTCTTTTCCAGGGTTCAAATTATTTGGAATTTCGTCTTGTGGTATTCGATTTAGTGGTGTAAGTGTAAAAAAAAACCGACAATGTGACATTCACATTTATAATATTACTATGCACATTACAAAAATGTATAATTATTATTAGTAAAATATGTAAAAATTATAGGTACATTCACAATCGGAATTCCGCCGAACCTTAATTTAATTTCTTACTCATCATAGTATGACACATCCTATGTGGCCACGTATTTTTCCGCATAGTCCATAATTTACAAAACGTAACTATCGTAAACGGGCATCATTAAACCGCAGAAGATCTTATTGTAGTGGGACAAAAATCCACTGTTTGTCCTTGTTATAATAAACCGCATAAACAGACAATGAAACTGTTTAATATTCTCCTGGTGATTTTCGTATAAATTTAACATTTCATGAATATTTAAAAAAAAGTAAACAACACCACGAAATGAAACACCTGAACAAACGTTTAATGTATCGTCAACAAAGGTAGTGTGAGCCCTTTGAAACCTTATAAGGTCAAAGTCCTTTTAGAAAGTTTGTTCGTACCTATACTGTACTCAGTAACTGTTAAATTTTGTAGATAGACAGATAGATATATATATATGAGTCGTCCATTATCAAAGGCGGCAATCTGTGCATTTGAACAAAAACTTTTTATTGATATGTCAATACAGATTGATTTAAATATAATCGTCTCCTTCAAAGAATACGGTTCAAAACCTGCATTAAATAAAAGTTAATAGTTAACCTTTTATTTATCTAAGATGTCGTTCAGAAGAGTTTTGTGACTGCCAATGGAATACAAAGTCAATAATTCGTTTTTCTGATTTACCAATAATTGTCCAAAAGTCACATTGCCGGCTTTGATAATAGTCGACTCATATATGCTATATTGTATGTACAACAGAATAAAATTACAAAAACATTCTACTGGTCAGCAGTTTTAGCAAATATGCTCAATTTTGTAGTTTCTGCTATCTATGGAATTCAGCCCATCATTTGGTACTTGATGTAAATGTAAAAATGGTTACCATCAAACTGGTTACCACAGAAATCTAAATGATAAGACAATAAAGCTGTTATTTTGTGGCATTTTTATTCGGGACGCATGTCACCGATTTACCGCTTGCAACGCAATAATACATATTTCGACCCACATATAAAGTGGATTATGTAAGAATTATTTTGTGATAAGTATACTGCTCTTCTCGTCGGGAATTAAGAAATAAAAATAAATTAACGCGATTTAAAAATAATTACACCTTTCAAATAGGTAGTTTTAATCATATCTACACTTGTGACTCGCAAAACCAAAGAAATACTATAAATACTTCCAATAAGACTACACCCGCCTGGTTTATGACTTTTGATGTAATTTACACTTTGTTATTTCTAATAATTAAATATAGGGTGCAACAGAATATTTCCTGAAGCCGAATCAGAATATAAACTACTAACTAAAATGAACACCAATAATATATTGATTACTAAATGTAAAAAATATTTTTAGTTTTTGTTTTACAAATTTGTGTGAATGCACAATGAATACCGAAGTTTCACGCAGCCAATAATTTCCTCACACAAAATACCATAAAGACCATAACAAACTCTGCGAGTGAGTTGATTGTTAATTATTTTACATTGCCAACAGCATGAAAACATTAACAAATTATATCAATAGAGGTTTATTTAGTGACATGGGGGATATTTTCAATAGCTCCCACAAAAAGACAAGCAATTAATACAAGTATCAAAAATCTGAATAGTTGTTTTAAGGGATATTAATTTAATCAAAACAATCATTCAATCACTGATCTTGTAAATATAAGAAAATTATTTCCAATAACTTAATAGAGCTAATTTTCCCTATTGATTCTTGGACTCAACCTAAGGTCCTACCACCAGTAATTACGCAAATTATAATTTTACAAGTTTGATTTTTTTACATGATGTTATTCCTTCAGTCAATCGTGAACATTTGTCAAGTATGTATTTTGTTAGAAACAATGGTGCCCGCCAGTGGGATTTTAACATTTTTTAATAAACATCGCAAGATACGAATGCACCGAAGTCTTAATCCTTTAAGCCACGACGACTTCCAACTTTTGTGTCTTATTGTGGTATTTTGCTGTGATAGGTTTTTTTTATTGACCTTGTCCCTCCTGCCAGTGAGTTACCGGTTACCGTCACTCATGGATGTCAACAATTCCAGGGGCAGAGCCAAACTGCTGCTTACCATATAAGTATTGAGGTAAATCATTTTAAAATATAGTATATGAATAATTGCCAATTGCTCTAGTTTTATTCAAGGCATTTAAAAAATCTTTCAATAAACATGCTTTGCTGCAGTTTAAGCTATATACAGGGAATAGGATGTCTATTTCTAATACTTTGTTTTAAAGAAGAAAAAAATATGCTAAACAAACAATACTTATCACATATTTCTGAAACAATCTTTCACAACACGCTTGTCTTATCAGGCAGTGACTTATCAAGTGGCTATATTTTACATCTGAAAGTAAATTTCATTGTTTAGATGAGGAGAAACATTCTCAATACTAACTTTTCTGTCAAATACTGGGTAGTCCAATAGATAACTTCGCCAGGAAGTTCAGCCTCGGTGATTGTATACCCAGCTATGTTCACTGGCAGCTGGTCCTCGGGGTTCACTGTGGCCGCAAAGTTTTCGAAAAATACCCTATACGATGTCAAATAGTCGTCTTTGTCACCCATCTTCGCTGTTTGAAATTTAGTCAATTTATTTGTTAATTTATTCGGTAAATAATCGATGAAGAAACCCGTGTAAAGTGAAAATCAAAACTGGAACAACTTTAACACTTGATTCAATTACACTTGTGGATAAGCACTGATTCACTTAAATTAAAAGTAAATGATCACATATTGTTATGTAAAAAATAATATGGAAATCGTTTCGAATTAATAATTTTTGAATCAAAACATAAAGCTAACATCACCCTCATTGATGAATGAATTTATGTCAGATGGAGATGGGCGGGGTAGTGTTGTTCGGTGTACATCAAATTTTTAGTATTCGATGCATCGAAATCGTTCGAGTTCATTCAGAGCATTTGTAATGGAACTGTGGATAGCTAAATTACATTTTTGAAATTATTTTTACAAACAGGTAATAAACCGTATTACTGAAATATTTAAAAAAATGTATGTTCCAAATTAATGTTTTTCTAATATACTGCCAGAAATAAAGCAATAGGGGTGGCCAGCCAGTCATTACTATACGCTAGTGCTACAAACTAAAAATGGGTAATATTTTTACACAATTTTACTATTTTAATACTAACGGCTGCCTACGTTTGCCGCTGGGGCTGCTGTTCCAACTGCATACTAACTTGAGTTCACTTTTACGCCATCGAGAACTTTAAAAGCCTCGCACTAAGCACACAGACGTTATGCGCCTCAAGAGTAATCGCCACTTCTCCCGGTATAGTATGTCGGTGATGCGTGTTGTGAATTAATACACACAGGATAAAACTCTCATCCTACACGGTTCTGTGGTGAAGGACATGCATCTCTATAAAATACTATTCTACGTACAGTGTCGGATTAAGCAAGCGCGGGGCCCGTAGCAAATTATTTCAAAGAGCCCTTGATCTACTATGGGTTCTTAAGTATAAAGTGGTAAAAAAACAAATCAATAGTCTATACGTTTATTTGCCATCTATAGGTTACAATTTTGTGGGTATTTAGTAAATTACTATAGGCGCTGTTAGGCTCTGACAAGTACAAAAAGCCAGAGATGAGATTTTCTGGCTATATAGAATAATTTTGACAAGAAACTAACAATTGAAAACTGATGATACTGCACAAATTATTTTTTTCAATACGTATTTCAAAGTTGATATTTAATGCAAAGTATATTATTTTTTTAGGAATAGCCAATGTTATATTTTATCAATGGTGTACTTCAAATAATGTTTATGTTTTATATTTATTTATTTGTTTCTTTTATTATTTTTTTAAGTAACTTTTCTAGATTTCATGTGGGCAAATTGAGAAATGATACTATTCGTATCAATTTCTCTGAGCAAATCATGTTCTGTATTCATCAAAGCGAGATAATTCAGACGTTCTTGACTCATGGTGTTCCTTGTGACTATTAATCTTACAAATAAATATATAATTTTAACAACTTAAATCGAGCCATCTCAATCCTGCTACACATCCACACTGTGTCGGGTAAGAGTGTTTGCATACCTCAGACTTTTTGTAGAGCTGATTATCAGGCTGATTGAAATACTACACGTTTATACAAACAACTTTTCTTAATAAGTCACTCAAAAAATTAAGCTCGGGCAGAGATGAGTGGGTTTAAATATGCGGGGCCCGTAGCAATTGCTACTCTTACTGGCTTCTTGGTTAATCCGGCACTGTCTACGTATCAAACGACTGTATGAACTTTGCTCAGGTATAGTGATGATTCTGACCTCGGAGGGGGTCGGACGTCGGGTGTAAGAGTGCAGGGGAGTCGTTTAGTGGGTGGGTCCTAAAATCCTTGGGCCCGCGGTCAGCTCACAACACCATGCAGACCGTTGAGTCTCACATACCCCGCGCGCCCCTTTTGCGCGGGGACCTCGTAGGAGGTTCGGCCCTCTACCCGAAAAAAGGTATAGTGATGTTAATTCAGTCAGTCGGGTTTTAGTGATCTTAGTTAATAATAGTATTTGAGGGAGTTCGTATAGAGTCCCTTCTTTATTTCGCCGTAAAGTCGTGTTTTATGTAATTAACACCACAGTTAAAACAATATAAATTTTATTGTTGTAGCGGCATAAAGTAATTACATTAAATTAGTTATTATCACATTATAAATTATTTTTATGTTTTTCATATTTGGCGGTAAAAAGGTATTGTGTCACAGACTATATTCTGTCTCCCACATCTCGTGCGTTCCGGATTACGCATCATAAAAAGGTGCGTACTTAAACGCCACATATTAATTCTGCTTAGAGAGCGCTATGACATGTATTTTTTCAGCGGAGTCAACAATTTGAAATCTTCAGCAGTAACCAACCACTTGAATGTATCCCTAGAATTTTATCTTTTGGTTTTGCTAAACTTTTGATCATAAAAAAGATTTCGCATATGGGTAAATCGACTCTCACAACCTTGGCTCTTTCTTTTACATTATATAATCCGGTATTGTAACACCATCATAGTTATAATAAAACAAAGTTTTCAAAACATTGTTTTCAAGACATAGCATAAAATATAATAATGATAGGTGATAAAAATGACAATGTGTTCGAAGTATATTTCAAATAATGGAATATGGAAAAGAAGGTTATAACAATAGTCATTATTAAAATACTAACACAATACGTCAGTATACCCTAGACTTCCTTCATAACTCCAATGTCCTACCAACAGTCTACTATCTCAGAAGAATCCGTGTAATCGCCCTGGACTATCTGCTAAACTAGATTAACTAGTAAGTTAAGAAGTTGTATTTTCTTATTCGTATTATTTTCATTTAAATCTATCCATTCCCTTCTAAATTTAATAGTTTTCGTTCCACTTCAATCAGACTCCGGTCTTTTGAAATAAAAATTATTACATCGTACGCGATCATTCGTTTGCCTGTTCAATAAACAAAGCCGCACAAAATAGTCTATAGCCCAAAACCAAAACAAACACTGAAACAAAAAATCTAAGTAGCTACGTAGATACCTACCTACTTATATTAAATTTAGCTATAAATGAGTGAATACGGTTGAGCGGGTAGGAAATTGGTATGAAGTAAAATAAGTTTAAATACCTAATTCATGTTTCGAAATTTCTACGTAAATCAACATTAATTTCTACCACATTCATGCTTTTGATCACATATTCGTAGGTCCTTTACTTTATCAATTGTAATTATTTATCATTCATACGTGATTGATAATTTTTTGATAAGATTTAAATAACTAACTACTGCTGGTGCTTAAAGACTGCTATATCGTACACGCAATTATTATTTGCGTAGAAAAAGATGCCGTCAATCGCTGGAAAGTACCAGCACTACAAGAACGAAGACATTGATGATTATTTCAGTGCGGTCGGTAAGTAATATGAAATGTTTGAATTGCATACATTTTATTCCGTGCATATAACTGCTACTGAGTGAATCAATGTGATTGCAATTCGAATTTGTTATCATTTTATCAATTAATCCCTTGTTAAGCAATTGTTTTAACTTTAGCTGCTATAATGGAAATTGCAAGTAGTTTGAAATAATTTTTCAGGTGTACCATTTATGGGTCGAAAAATGATGTCAATGTCATCACCATTAATGGAAATTTCAATTGATGGGGATACTATGACTATAAAAAATTCATCATTGTTAAGAACAGTAGAACACAAATTTAAGCTTGGCGAAGAATATGAAGAGAAAATGCCCAATTCCATTATAAAAGTCAGTGCAAGTTTCAACTTACTAAACCAACTAGATAATTTTTTTCTGCCATATTTTACAAACATTATTAGTACCAAGTTACCAGCAAAGCAACATATTTCAGAGTGTCACAACAATCACCAATGATAGTGAAATGGAGACAAAATCTGTTATACCTGACACAGGCGCTAAATGTGGACGTCACTATCAGTTTACTGATGAAGAATGTATTGTGGTGAGTAAATAATTTTATATTTTTTAAAAAATGGCCAGTTCTCCACAACTATTATTAATATATAGATATACAAACAGTGTCTCCTCCAGCATTGCCCCTACTCTCTTATCATCAATCCATATACATACAGTGTACTGTTGTAACAGTATCACCTTATTTTCCTACCAAACTTCTCCTACCTACAAAACCCCACACTAGAATCTGTACTGCCCACAATGTAAGATACCTACACATACAGTATGGCCCACCATATAGGGTAGGACAGCCAACACAATTAAGTCTTTAAGTTTGAAAGTAGGCAGCAGAATGAATTTTGTGATGCATTTGAGTTTAATAAAACATCCCTTTCCTATTAATATCTAAATAAGCATATGGTCCACCTGATAGTGAGTGGTTACTATAGCTCATAGATCTCGGCAATGTTAGGGGCACATCCAAACCACTGCCTACCATTGAGTACTCTACACAAACCCCATTTGAAGAGACATGTGATAGAGCTCAGGAAACACTGAGGAATGACGTTTATTCCAAAGTCAGGTGGTACATGATAGAAAAGATCTCTGGAAATGTAGTGGTTTAGCTAATATGGATGAACTTGCACAGCCATGTGCCTTTGCTCTAATAAGTCATTAAAACTAGAACATAAATCGTTTTACTATGAAAGCATGCACAATGTTAAACAATTATTAAATAAGAGAAAATTTTGTTTTCATACTCAATTAAACATTAAAATTAGTCAATTTTAAATCAAATAATACCCTTTAATTAAAAGTAGGTTAAGTCTATTTAATAGTTTATATTTTTCTTCTTCTTTCAAAATGCTCAACCAACACAAAACTGAATTCAGTAATCATTTTCTTTCATTATTTCAGACTCTCACACATGAAAATGCAAGTGTTTCTGGGAAACGCTACTTTCGCAGAGTGCAGTAGACCTTATGGTCAAAATATGATTTATATGTATAAATAAGTAATTAAAAATTTACAATGTCAATAAGTTATCATTTTTCAAGTTTTACAAGAACTGGTTTATGTGTACTTTTATTAAATGTATGTGCCAACAACAATTACTGTTTTTCTGATGCATCTATCAATATCAATAAGGTAGGTAGTCATAAATAAAAACAAAGTTCTTTTACTAAGACTACTAAACTTATTTATTTCTTATAAACGCCCAACAAGTTATAAACTGCATAAACTCAAGTAATAATTTGCAATAAAATTCAAGCGATGTATTTCAAGGCAATTTAGTTGATGTCTAAATAAAGCATGAATTCATTTTTACTAAAACTTCATTCTAATTCATGGAATTCTTAGAAAGTTTTAATTTAGTAGCCTATACATTTGAAGTTTGTAAAAATTTGTCCACAGTAAAATTACACATCACAAATTTAAAGAGATCACACAATATATAGTTTAGTTGGTTAGTCATTATTTGTAGTTATATAACAAACATATAGGTATACATAAAATGAAAACCTATTCAAACACAAACCTTACAGTTAAAACTTATTCAAATAAATATAAAACCTTTTAGACTTCAAATTGCACAAACACTTAGTGTAACAGCCTTTCAACACAACATATAAACATGAAACAGCTTTTGGTTTTGACTATAAAATAATAATATCACATTCTTTTACTTAAATTTAAAGCTCGTTAAATAAAGCCAAGCTTGACTAAGTACACGGATGAAACATATTCAAATACATCATGTTACTCTGACTTAAGAAATGGAATTTTAGGTGCCATGTTCACTACAGAAAAAAAACTATTGAGAATCCCACTGTGCTGTATGCCAGGCCAAAGCAGTACTACTGTTGACAATAAATACAACAGGAAAATGTTGTTAATAGAAGAGGATATCCAAGCTACAGTACACAATGTACTGATGGAGATAGTGTAATACTGAAAAAGAAAGAAATTTATTAAACTTTGATAATATTTCCTTTTGTTTAGTTTTTTTTTTAAATTGAGTTACGCACAACATCTGTCTAGTGGAGTTATCAACAAGAGCTCAGAGCGTAACTCAGCTTATTATATACCAAACCATATACCACTGCTAACCTTGAGATGTGAAGTTAAAGTCTGTTTTGAATTGTATTATTGGCTGTGCTATTCCTTTCCTCTTGATTATTCTTAGTTTAGGTTAATTATAAATAAAATTACACTAAACATTTAATTACCATAAATGGGCTGGTATCTCGCAGGGAATAGAATGAATGGATGTAAATCACCAATTTATTGTAGCTTATTACAATGTTTCTACAAATTTCTTCAAATGTCTTCTCATGTTGTCCTGTCCAAGAACTAGATCCATAAAGCTGGTTGCATATAACTGGTACCATAAAATCAACAAAATTAAGAATGAGACCCACAATAGCAATTGAAGCTAGAGTATTGAGATCTAATAACCAAATGAGAAGATACATAATTGTCATTGAGCCCACAATGGCACAAGGATGCCATTGTTGTTCCCACAATATTACAGACTTCAGAGAGAGTAAGGCTACACGCCAACCTTCTAAAGTTCGCTTTACTTTTCGCACTTGCTGTTCCTGAAATAAAGCAAATTACCCTCATTTAGACAGTTTATAGATGAAAACCTTGCATAATTACTATAGACTTTTGGTTTGAATATTCAATTTCCTTCCACTCTTCTTTTAATGTCACAAAAAGCTATTTTGTCCATTGCTGAATTTTAGTGAAATGATTCATGGCTTACCTGATCTTGGACTGTACTAGATTTCTCTCCCATTTTTGCGATAAAGTTGTCGTCCTTAAATAACTGTTCTTGTCACTCTTATTAAAAACTTAATAAGCAATGCAATTCGATTTCTTATTTCATAAATTACAAGGAAATTATTCGAAGTTTGTAACCAAAAAGAGAAGATTTTACCAGCCAGCCATAGTGCTCTCAAATATATTTTTACAGACAGTGTTGCCAACTTTATTTTTACAAATCCACAAATGATTTATAAAAAAATATTTTTTTTACAAGGGAGTTCGTATAGAGTCCCTTCTTTATTTCGCCGTAGTCGTGTTTTAAGTAATTAACACCACAGTTGAAACAATATAAATTTTATTGTTGTAGCGGCATAAACAATTCTAAGTAATTATATTACATTAGTTATTAAACACAATAAAAATTATTTGTACGTTTTAAATATTTGGCGGTAAAAAGGTCTCGTGTCACAG